TATCAAACTTTAAACTAAAAGAAAAAGGCAATTCTAAATGGATAAATTTGATGTTGTTGATAGAGGTGGGTATACGGGCTACCCGTCCGTTTAGCCCGCGGGTTTTGACGGTGCGGGCTTAAACGGAGTGGGCTAAAAAGCCCGCATTCATAAACGGTTTTGAATTTTAAGGCTCGCAGCCCGTCCATTTAACCCACGGGCTAAACGGGATTACTCGCGGCCCGTTTAATAAAAATAATTTTAAATGCTTTAAATGGAATAAAAAATAATGTTTTAACTTACTACACCTTTAAAAATGATCGAGCAACTTGAAAAGGAAGGTAGCACCGTCAAAATAATAAATAATATTTAAATTTTATTTTAAATAGCCGGAAATGATTATAAAATAATATTTTTTTTAATTTTTTAATCATTAATATATATATATATATAATGATATAATTTCTTAAACTCAAATTAAAAAAAAAATATTAACTTATATCACCAAATTGGAAACACAAATAAAACAATAATCACATTATACTTTTATAAAACACGATTATTCAAGGCTATAATATGAAGACACAGAAGTGTCTGAAAGTATAAATTCAAACATAAAAATTCAACAAAGTCAAACATTATACAAATCTTACAAGAAAGTTGTCAAGTGTTCGTAATAATTGTATTTTATGGATACTTTAGAGAAATACTAAAACATAATATGAAAATATAAAATAAAATACTTACAGTATAAGAGTAAATTTGAAAGATACAGTTATACTAAAATTGATAAAATATGAGTCATTAATTTATTAAAATATATTTATTTTGTAAAAGTCTTTAAAAGTTGAAAGTATGTTTTCAATTTTTTTTCTTTTTACTTTTTTTCTTACTTTTAATTCAAATATTACGTATCATGTGATATATTATTAGAATATTACGTGACTTTTTATAATTAAAGAACAAAATTGATAACATACTTCATGAAAAAAAAATATAAAGGTCAAAATTAAATAAAAAAATCTTTAAATACCAAAATGATAATGATGTATATTTAAATGAAAAAAATATCAAGAAATGGTAAAATTATGACAAACGTCCTAATAAATTTAAGAATTATAATAGTTATAAGTAACACCATATTTATAGGTAATTTATTTTCTTTTTCTATAAAATTCTTTAAGTTTATTTTCTCTAAAATTTTATAAATTTTAAATTAAGCGGGTTTAACGGATAGCCCGCGGTTATACCCATTAAACCCGCGGGTTTAACGGTCTGAGCTAAAAAGTCCGCAATTTAAACGATCTTCAATTTTTAAAGCCCGAAGCCCGCTCGGGTCGCAAGTTAAACGGATAGCTCGCGGGCCTTAGCCCATCTACCCAGCTCTAACTGTTGAGCACTAAGAGGAATGTCTAATAAACATGCACTCCAATGTTGTAATGAAAAGAAAAGGTGGACTACGTATTTTGTATTTTAATTACTTGTACCATTTTATTTTGATCATCTGATTATTTTTTTAAAAGTTATATCGAACGTTATGTTACGGTTTTATTTTGGTCATCCATTGTCAAAGGAATTAGACTTAATATCAAAATAAGTGCTCAAAGGTGCTTAAATTATTTTTTATTAATCTAAATGTCTAACGTTATAAATGTTAACATCTTAAGTGACCCGACTGTACCAATCGTTAAAATTTTTTGTTAAATGATATGCGTTCTTATTTTTAAAGTTTTTTTAAATTTAAAATAAATTATTATATTTAAAAATCCCCTAACCCCACTAGGGATGGGCACGAGACTCAAATTCCGACATGACCCGATAGGTTTGGATTTTTTTAAGTTCGGGTTCAGATCGGAACGAGTTGGATTCGTGTTTAGGGTGAAAAAATATTCGACCCGACCTGACCCAAAAATAATATAAAATAACATATATTTAGGACTAATTGCAATAATACCCTTCTTTATATTATTTTTTTCAATTAACTCCCTATTTTATTGAATAAAATTAATAATTTTATATTATTTCGAGTATGGAGTCGGGTTTTATCTCAAAAGTGGGTCGGATTTCGGGTATGGTGAAATGATCATAAACTAGGGTCAGGTCAAGTTTCAAGTGAAGGATATAAAATTTTTAGGTTAGGTTGAATTGGCCGGAAACCCAACCCAACCCAACCCGACCCGACCCGACCCATACCCATCCCTACACTTCCCTCCATTTGTCATTGGCCTTTGCAACTCTCTTCTTTTTCTGTGTAATTCTGGCATACTTCATTTTTCTTCTTTAGAATATAGAAGTTGGGTAATGTTGCTTGGGGAATCAATCCCAAAATCTTGGATCAAGGCTGGGCATGCCTAAACCATTGAGTCAAACCCTTTGTTTATTAATAGTTTGACAAAACTTTTATTTATCATAGTATAAATTTTAAATAAACAATGAAATAATAATATTCTGATAAATAAATTATAGGATAAACTACTTGAATGACCACATAAATAATATTCTAATAAATAAGTTATTAGTTAATGCAAGGTTTAAAAATAAAAACTAATAAAAAACTTCGTATAAAAATTAATAAATAATTTAAACTCATTTAAAAAATGGTAAAAAAAATTAATTTAATTTAAAAATTAATGTATAGTTTAAATTTTTTATATTTTAAAATTAAAATAATTTTTTTCTATTTTCCATTAATAATTTGCTTATATTTTTTAAAAATAATTATAATAATTAATATATAAAAATTAATAAATAATTTAAACTCATTTAAAAAATGGTAAAAAAATTAAATTAATTTAAAAATTAATGCATAGTTTAAATTTTTTATATTTTAAAATTAAATTAATTTTTTTCTATTTTTTATTAATAATTTAATTATATATTTTAAAAATAATTATAATAATTAATTTAATTTTAAAAATAATATATAATTTAATTTTTTATATTTTAATACTAATTTATTTTTAAATGAGTTTAAATTATATATTATTTTTTAACGAAGTTTGTTATTCATTTATTATTTTTAAAATTTACATTAATTAATAATTTATTTATTAGAATATTATTTAGGTGGTCATTCAAGTAGTTTATCCTATAATTTATTTATTAAAATATTATTATTTTATTATTTATGTAAAATTTAAAACAAGATAAATGAAAGTTTTGTCAGACTAATAACAAAATGGTTTAGCCATGCCGACTCTTGATCCAAGGTTTTGGGTTTGGGATCATTTCTCCCAAGCAACATTATTTCTCTGATTCTTGTTTGATTGGTGGAGAAATTCATTTAATTAAAAGGTTAGTCTAAATATACCAATTATTTTACTAAATCTACCAAAAGATTGATGTAATGATTGATTAATGTAATGGTTATGTTTTTTTTTTATTAAATTTTTTTTATCATTATATAATAATGATGTCTTTTTTATTATTTTTTAAATTTTCTTTTAAGGTCTTTTTCATTATTAAAGTTTTCTATTAAAATATTTTTCATTTATTTCTTCAACATGTATACAAAAAGCAAATATTAAAACATTCATTGATAAATAAACTAGAATTACAATAAATTGAAATTACACTCACCTGCACAACACCCAACGAGCTGCCCATTCCTTCCTACACATCACACTCACCTACAAAAAGTTACTCTACCATTATTTATCAACTAGTGGGAATCCATTATAAAAGTAACCCAAAAACTCCTTATAAATAGAGGCATTCGAACGATTCGGAGGGAGGAAGCAAGTAGAAAACATGAAAACAAAGGGGGCTCTTCAACAGACTGGAGGCAAAGACTAAATCGTGGGGCCTTTCTTTTGGGAAAATCATTCGAAAAGAGGGAAATGAATACGAAAAAAAAGAAGTGTAATTTCAATTCATTGTAATTCTAGTTTTTTTTATCAATGAATGTATTAGTATTTGCTTTTTTTTTATAAAGAAATAAATAAAAAAATATTTTAATAGAAAACTTTAATAATGAAAAAAACCTTAATAGAAAATTTTAATAAAAAAATAAAAAAGGCATCATTATTACATAATGATAAAAAGCTTTAATAAAAAAAGGGAAAACATAATCATTATATTAATCTTTGGGTGTTTTAATAAAAAAATAGAAAAAACATAATCATTACACTAATCTTTTGGTACGTTTAGTAAAAGAATTGATATATTTAAAGTAACCCAAGTATTAATGATCAACTGTATAATTTTACTAATTTTATTAATTGCCACGTTAACACTTCGGTCAAATGTTAACGGGTAGTGGCTATATTAACCCATTTAAATACTTCAATGGCCATACTGACGCAGATTTGAAAGTGTGGTCATTTCGATACCAACCTCATAATTGGGTGGTCATTCAAGTAGTTTACCTATATATATATAGGTTAAGATCTACTTAAACAATGTAAAATTCAATATTAAATTTTTCGAATCAAACTCATTTCGAATCAAATTCATTTCAAGTCAAACTCAACAATATTTAACTCAATCATTTACAACTCTAAACTCAAAGACAACCTACCTTAGATTGAAAAAATTCATATCTACAATAATTTTCCTTATAATAGTAATAGTATGAAATAATTACATGTATTCAAAATTTTCTTAATCAATGATTTATACACTTTATAAACACATTTATTCAATATTTTAGAGTTTAGGGTTTCATGGATTTAGAGGTTTAAGATTTAGGGTTTAAAGGATTTAAAGGTTAAGTGATAAGAGTTTAGGGTTTTGGGGTTAATGGTTACAAACGAGACATGGACGACAGAAGCTCCCATAGATTCTTCGAAACATGTCCTTGAAGCATGTTCCGATTCGCAACCCGTTCCTCAACGGGTTGACAGCCATAAGTGATCCCATATTTTTACAGTTTATCAATGTTGATCTTTAAATTCATGTGATTCTATATCCAGGCTCTAATCTTGTACCTCTGCTGCCTTAAACGATACCGGATTTTGTGATCGATCCTTAAAAAAAAACCAAAAGCACTATTCTCACAGCAATTGGATTTCAATACCTCGTCAACAAAAGCAAAAACTCATCGATTACCACTACATCAAAATGATCACAATCTTGACAAGGAAAAAGAGTTGACAAACATTAAAATCAAACAAAACGACAGATCGAGTCTACGAGCACACCACTAGAAAGTGAGAACTAATTGGAAGTAAATGGGATGTGAGAGCTCCTACCCCTACACCTTAATGGCATACTTCCTCATTGGGAAGTACATTTCCTTCTTTTTCTCCCTTTCAGTCTTCAATGATGCCTGCCATGCAAAACAACCGATGTTTCAAAAACGATACTTGAAGTTTCAATGACGCAGGTGGCTTCGGTAATCCAATGCTGGTAACAAGCAAAAGATATAACTTAAAACAAAATCAAAAGGATGGCACTCCGCCGCTACCTGGTGCTTGGTAAGCCTTCGGCGGATGGCTCGGGTCTTCTTGGGACGAAGATCAAGAGGCAGGAACTTCTTCTTCTTATATGCCTCCCTCAATGCAGCCTTCTGCTTCTGTGAGATTACAGTCAATACTTGAGCAATGGACAGCCTTACCACCTTGCTGCATCGATACCGGCACCAGACTCAGAATCAAAAACACCCAGAGAATAAAAACAAATCCCCGACGGCTTAAATGTTCTACTATAAAACTCACATGAAAAGCAATCTAGATCATGCACTAAGAATTCATAAAAACAATGGACACAATTAACAGAACATTAGTAAAAACAAAAGAATACCCATTAATCTAAATAAAATAAGAACTCAGATTTCACTTTATATACCAAATTAAACAAAAATCATAAACATGAGATCCAACCCTAAAACATAGTAAAACAATCAAAATGGGAGAGAAATGGAGTTACATCTTGGAGAGCTTGTTAGGTGCACCACCGGTAACTTTAGCGACGCGAAGAAGAGCGAGCTCAGCTTTGAGATCTTTCAACTGAGCCAAAAGATCGGTTTTTGATTTCTGCCTCAACTCATGAACCTTAATCCTCGCTGTTTTTCATTTAATAATTACAAGAAAAAACACCATAAAACCCATGTTCAGATTTCACAAAACAAACTGGAAAATGTAAGAAAATTCACTAAACAATTTAAAGGTGTTTGTTTAGTTACCCATTGCTTGCTTCTTCTGCTGTTCTGAGACTACGGCGGCGGCTTCTCTAGACAAATCTGAAACCCTAAATTTTGAAGAAGCAAAGGGTTTTTATGGAGATTCCTTGGGCCTTAACGGACTTATTTATTTCTCCTGGTTTCAATAAAATTTGATTTTTTTGGGGCTTAATTTTATTAGATTTATAATTTTTATAGGGTAAACTACTTATTTGGTCACTTGCATATTATTTAGTTTATGTTTTGGTCAGTCAATTATTTTTATTTCAAAATCATACCTAATTTTATTTTTAATTTTTTTGATCACCTGTTATTAAAATTTAAGAGTAAACTACACATTTAGCCATGTAACTATCACTTTGGTTCTATTTTGGTCATCTAACTATCACTTTGATTCTGTTTTGGCCACCCAATTATTATTTTTTCAAAATCATACTTAAAGTTAAGTTTTACTTCTATTTTGGTCATTTGCTGTTAAAAAAATGAGGGTGACGTTGATATGTCACAGTAAGTAATTACACGTTATCATTGGAAAATAGATTAAAGAAAATTATCATGTCAGAAATTATGCTTATTTTTAATGGTTGGTAACAAAACCTAATGTTAGATATAATTTTGAAAAAAAATAATAGTTGGATGACTAAATCGAAATCAAAGTGATTGTTGTCTGACTAAATATTTAGTTTACCTAAAAATTAATGGTGAATTGACATGATATTTTTTAATTATTTTTTAACGTTGATGTGGCATTATCTTTATGGTGACATGTAACACCCTAATCTAGTCCGACCCGAAGATCCATGGATCACAATGCCACACAGAACCACCGAAATGGTCAACCTAAACATTTCTTTTAAAAGCATTTATAAACATCAAAATAACTCATCATAATTTCAACAGAAATCAAAATTCAACATTTACAAAATATATGAGTCATTTAAAATACGTGCAATACAACCATGGAGTTTTAAATCAAATAGAGTTATGACTCGAATACACAATATCCATATAGAATACATGCCCTCTAAATAGACTCAAGACATACTTTGTAAATCTTCTGGTCTAGAATGTACGGATGCGGTAGGCTCCTCAACGATCCTTTTACTAATATGCGTACGAAAACACATTCCATACACTGAGCTCACAAGCTCAATGCCACGAGAATAATTATGCAATATTACATGCATTCATTTCATGAACATGCAGTGTGCAAAGTCATAAATATACAAAAGTACATAACAGACATGAGATAAGCCAAGTGGTGTGGTCGGAGGAATTTACGTGCATCTCGGACAACACACTAACCTATCTAAAATGAAATAGATTCGAGGTAAGAACCGAAATTTATGTGCATAAGAACTTATAGCCCTCAGTTTATTTCGGATCCTCGAGTCGTCGAAGTGAGGTCCGAAATTTATATGTATCAGAATCTATCCTGCACCTAATCAAGCATATGGTACGATTATGGAATTTACGTGCATTAAAACTTGTATTGGTACGGCCTAAAATTTGTGTGCATCAGATGCGTACCAAACAAACAATATTCGGATATTCACAAACAAGTGACGATTGTCATAATACTAGAGTAACTCGGGTTTCCTGGCCGTTTCCCGAGTATCACACAGAGGCAAATCTTATTTCATCCTAACTTGCTTGATTTCTAGGTGAGAATTGAGTTATCTTGATTGTTTTCACTTGTATCAGATACTTGTAATTTATACGAACTCAAAACACCTCAACCCGAACACCCAAACAAAATAACCAAAATTACGGATTTCACCATTAATTTACTCTTACATGCTTACATGAACAAAACATACCAAAATGCACATACCATGATCTACATGTGGTATGGTTAACTTAGAAACATGTTACCTTGAAGCTAGGTGACTGAAAAATGTTCCCAAATCACCCAAGGGTTAACTTTCCCTTGCCTCTAGCCTTTGAGCTCTCCCCTTGCTCTTGCACTAATCAAAACAAGTTTAGTGAGTTGTAAGCTCATTTTAAATTTTAGGATGAAGCTAAAAACGATTTCCTACAACTTGAATCTCATAAAATGAATAAGAACTCAGGATTCCCTAAACCCCACTAAAACTCATTTTTGGTTAACTTACCCAAACCTTGCAAAAAGGGCTTAATTTGAAGCTTAGGAGGTGTAGTTCATGATTCTTACCTTAGAATTCATAGGGATGCTCGATTTTCTTAAAGGTTTAACCTTTTCTTGATTCCTTGAAGAAGAATAATCTGTTAATGAAGAGAGAAAGAAGACAAAGAATTGTGAGGAAAAAGAGAAGGAGTTAACAGACGTGATATCATCCAATTAAATGGGAATCAGCCTTTGTTTGAAAATTTGGAATAATTGTTCACCTAGTCCTTCCTTCTTTGGTCCATGATTAAAATATTCTCCTTGCTAAGCTTGTTGGGCTCATCTCAAGCCTAATCAAGGCCACTTGGATCAATCTCTTTATGGGCTAAGGGAAATTATTCTAAAGTCCAAATCAATTATACCTGAAACTCCCAACTCGAAATTCAGGGCATTACATGACACGTCATCATCATCATTATTTTTAATGAATAGTGACCAAAACATAACTATATGGTGACCCAATAGCTAGTTTACTCTTTTGTATCATTCTACTTTTCATTAGTCATTGAATAAATTTTATAAAATATAAATTTTATATTATATTTTTTTCACCAAAATGAATTTGTTTTGGATACTTGTTTTCTTATATTTTTTTAAATTCAGTTTGATTCGGTTCAAACGATTTCTATATGAAAAAAAACCAAAACTGCACCGAATTATATATATATATATATATTTTAAAACTGAATCAAAATTGAGCCACAAATTAAAAAAAATCCAAATTAAATCACATAATTTAATTTAAATCAATTTTTCAATTTTCTAAATTTTGTTGCTCAATCTGATCCATTGGGATCTTTTAGTCAAAGCTGCTATTTGCATTTAAAACATTGTTTTGTCAGCGGCTAGGCAATTACTTTTGTGATCAAATTGCACACCAAATGGATGGATTTTAATTTGTGGAAGATTTACGGTGCGACACCTTAATATAAGACTAAAATAAGGTGATATTAGTTTTATTATTATTTAAATAATAAAATCGGTAAAAAAATTTACTTAAAATAATTATTATTTTTACCTAAAACATCATTTTTTAACATTTCTGGTAAAAGTACCCAAAAATAATAAAATGGGTAGCGCCTAACAATGTTTTCGATCATTTTTAGCGCCTAATATTGTTTCCGGTCATTTTTTTGAAAATCTAGTTAAAAAGCCCAATAATAATAAAATCGGTATTGCCTAATAATGTTTTCGTTCATTTTTTATCGATTTTGTTATTTAAACAATAACAAAACCGATAATATCTTTTTTAACCGTATATTAATACTACCGCACGTGAACATTTCCCTTTCAACTTGTTTTTGATGAATTTTTATCTCTTTTGACCCAATCCAATTGTCTATTCCTTTCACTGCTTTTTCAATAATTTTCAGTGTGAAATTTCTGAACCATACTTCCATCTAAGTTTCCACTTTTCCACATTAAAATTTGAGTTAGTTGCATCATATGTCCCAAAATATGACCATCATTTTAAATTGGTCCTTAAACTTTTGAATATTTCTATTCCATCCCCAAAATATGACCTTCATTTTAAATTAATCCTTAAACTTTTGAATATTCATATTCCATCCCAAACTATGACTCTCATTTTAAATTAGTCCTTACACTTTTGAATATTTTAATTTCATCCCTAAACTATGACCCTCTTTCTAAATTGGTCCCAAAACTTTTTGAATATTCCAATTTCATCCCAGATTCATCCAAATATATAATTAGCTTCAACCGTAATTTAACCTAAATTTTGTTTATTTTTT